GCAATGAGTTTTGGTCGCGTTGGAGAAAAGAATTTCTGCATTCCCTGCAAGAACGCCAAAGATGGCTCAAACCGAAACAGAATCTCGAAGTCGGAGATATTGTTATCGTCGCTGAAGAAGAATCATCCCGAAACTGTTGGCCATTAGCTCGCGTAGTGAATGCTGAGAAAGACGAAGATGGCCTAGTTCGAAAAGTAAAGTTGATGGTCGGCGAGCGGAGACTCACGAAGCAAGGAAGAAGAGAGAAGCCTCTCGTTAGCCTGGAACGTCCAGTCCACAAGTTGATATTGTTGATCCAAGGAGAAAGACCGGGAATCCCCGCCGAAGAGCCTGATGACGAATGATACAGACATTGCTGATAAACGTTAAGTTCATGTTATTGTTGTTTATATTTAGTAAATTCGAATTTCGAATTTAGGGGAGCCATGTAAGTGCTCGCGTTGCGTGGACACGCGCGCGTGTACAGATCGGAAACGTTCGTACGTTGTCGTGCCTTTTTGGCGCGAAAGAACACAAAAGAAAAGAACATGTTTAATACGAAAGGACAAGCTTTTTGTATTTTAAGATTTGTAAATTAAGATAAAGGCCGAGTCATCAACGTTGTTTACCCGGCCAAAACCAAGTAACCTAAAGATAAAACATGAATAAAGATTAATGAACATTTACAGTCTGTGTGTACTGTAATTGATTTCTTTCCAAAAATATAGTCATGAAATCGTTCGCAACCGAATGTGATAGCTAACATCTCTTTTTCTATCTACGCATAGTTTCGTTGTGTTTGTGTTAATGACCGTGATGCATATGCGACTGGGCGCTCGTCCTGTAAAAGGACAGCTCCTAACCCATCAGGGCTAGCATCAACTTGAATAGTTACATGTTTGTTTACATCATAATATTTCAAAACAGGTGCATTTGTTATTGTTTGCTTTAATCTTTCGAAACTGTTTTGTTGCTGCACATCCCAGTGCCATGCCGTGTTCTTTTCAAGTAGCATTCGCAGGGGAGCAGCTAATTGTGAGGAATTTGGGATAAGTTTAGCAAGGTACGTTGCCATCCCGGGAAATCTCTGGACTGCTGCCTTATCTGTCGGTGTATCCATTGTTTTGATAGCTTCGACTTTGTTCACATCCGGTTTTAATCCATTTGAACTCAACGTATGTCCAATATAAGTTACTTGTTGTAGTCCAATTTCACATTTATCCTTGTTAAGTTTCACTCCAGCTTCGCGAGCTCTTTCTAATGCTTGTTTCAAACGTTCATCGTGTTGTTCTCGAGTTTCACCCCAGATTAATAAATCATCGACAATAACTTCGATTCCTTCATTGCCATAAAAAATTTGAGACATAATACGCTGAAACACTTCCGAATGGCAGACGATGAAAACGGTATCGACCAAACGGTGTATTAAGGCTATGTTTACATTGTATCGGATCACTTTGCGTCCGACGCAAAAACCATACCGGATAGGGCTTCTGTTTACATATGAAATGTTGTTATCGTCTCAATTTCTGCAACGAACCGGTGGTGCGGCGGTTCGCTCTTCGAAGTGGTGCGCGGTGTATCGGATCGGTTTTTGCAACGCTCTCATTGTAATGTAAACACCAATCGGAGCAATTTCGGTTCAGTGCGTGACTCGGATGGAATCTGGCAAACAACAACTTACTATTCTAATAATATATAGAAAAAAATACGACGGCATAGATGGGCGGGGCGGAAGCTGTTTACACTCGGGCCGTAACTTTTCGCGAACGAAACAAAAACTGATCCGATACAATGTAAACATAGCCTAAATGTACATATTTTCGTTGCACTTTCGTCATCAAGTTGTACTTGCCAGTAGCCTTGGGTAGCATCAAGCTTCGAGAAGAATTTGGCATTCGGCATTCGCGAGATAACTTCTTCTATAGTTTTCATAGGATACTGTTCACGTTTAATTGCGCGATTTAAGTCTTTCGGGTCAATACACAATCGTATTTTTCCATTGGGTTTTACGACAGTTACTAAACTATTTACCCATTCCGTTGGCTGTTGAACTCGCTCTATTACTCAGAGACTTTCCATACGATCCAGTTCGTCCTTAACTTTTTGTCGCAAGGGTGCTGAAACTCGACGCGGTGGGTGAATTAGGCCACTCCAAATTAGACTTTAGTTTCCCGTCCTCCGCCCGCGTCTCCTAGAACTGGCCGCATGGTTTGTCCATTATTGCCGCGAAGTTGTTTCCATTATTTGACTTTTGTGACAAACAATTACGAAAAACCACAGTTTTCAAATAATCTATCGTGCAAGACATACGTATTTATGATACAACACGTAAAAATCGAAATAAAATTCTTGAAACTTTTATCAAAGAGCGTGAATTTTTTTCCGTTTTCACTACGAACTGCTGAGCTACACTCTTCCGTTACAAGTTTTGATTTTTGAACGTCAAAACCGATAAGGTTAATATCCTGGCTTTCATTTCTGCATACAAAAACTCTAAAATATTGCGTAGAAACGTGGCTGAATGGATATTTAAAACTCGTATCTATTTCATGAAATAATGGGTCGTGTTTCATCTTTCAGACACCATAATGGATAATGGAAATCGCCCCGCCCGCGTGTAATTTGAAATAAGGGCCGGACGGGAAACTAAAGTCTAATTTGGAGTGGCCTTACCGGTTTTACAGTAGGGTCAGTTTCAATGTGGTGTACTACGCCTTTAACACAACCTAACCCAGTAAACACATCACTGTACTGTTCGAAAATATCCTCACGTGCGGTGGACGTCAACTCGACGCATTCTTTTTTGTCGATAGTTAGCACTCGTTTTACAAGATTTAACTGAAGGCAAGTTGTAAGTCCAAGTATATTTGGAACTTCATGATTTACGACTTGAAACTCAATTGGCCAATATTTGTCACGATATGTACATAACGTTGTAAATTTTCCAGTTGTTTTTAACTTTTGCCCTCCAAACGCTCCGAGCTTTGTTCGCGATTTTTCTAAGAGGGTTTTACTAAGTTCCTCATACGTCTTTTTTGAAATCACATTGCATTCGGCTCCAGTATCGATTTTGAACATAACATTTGTATTGTTTACTTTCAGGGATGTCGTCCATTCTTTGTTTTCGTCTTGGGCGTGTATGGCGCCAATGAAAAAACTATCATTGCTTTCACTGTCGCTATTTCGTGTGCTCGCTTCGGCTTCGTGACTATGAACGTTCTTTTCATTTGTTCTAGTCCTGCACATTCTCGAGTAGTGGTTAGGTTTTTTGCACTTATGACAAGTAGCTCCTATAGCTGGACATTTCTGTTGTTCATCGTGTTTACCGCCAAACCTTGTACATGTTGTCACTGACGTTTTAGATGTACGGTTGAACGGACTTCGCCTTCGATCTTGAGATATCCTGTTACTGTTCATATCGCGTTCACTTTGGTGATCTTTCTTTAGGGCATTTACTTCTGTTGTCAAGCCATCCGTCGCGTTTGTAAGAGATTTGGCTTGTTCTAAACTGATTTCGTTGGCGCGGCAAATGTCAATGGCTTTTTGAAGCGTTAAATCGCTTTCCCGTAATAGTCTTGCACGTAATTTATCGTCAATTATTCCACAGACTATTCGATCTCGAATTAACCCGTCGCAAAGGGTACCAAATTCACAAGACTTAGCTTTCGTGCGCAAATCTGTCACGTATTGATCAATTGTCTCACCTCTCTGATTTCGCGTGTTAAAAACGTGCCGTTCGTAAGTTATATTCTTTCTTGGATTACAATACGCGGCAAACTTTTCCATTATTTTATCTACTTTCATGGCATCGCCTTCGCTCGCCCATGTGAAAGTGTTAATATTGAGACTTCCAACGCATTTTCTCCTATCACATGCAGCAATGTAGACGCTTGAACTTTTGCAGATTTTTCGCCGATTCCACTCGCTACTAAAAACAAATTGAATTGTTGTTCCCATTTTCGCCAGTTTTCAGCTAAGTTGCCTTCTAAATGTAAGATATTTGGGGGTTTCATATATTCCATCCTGACACCATGTAATAATGTGTTTGTTTAGACACACGCCATGTTGAGTCTCTCTCCATATCTAATTGTCTCCTACATATATATCTATATCCATTACGTCATAACTACTTAATGTCAATCATCTACTTATAAATGTCACAGGAACTAGACTCAGTTCCGAAATATCACCCGACTCGAACCGACTTTAACTCGTAGCTCAGTTGGTAGAGCATTGGACTAATATATCCAAAAGGTCGCGGGTTCGATTCCCACGTGGTCAGGCAAACTTCTAACGTTTCAGCTTGCCCGGTGTGGATGCACACTCAGAGTAACATCACAAACATCATATTCTTGCTTGTGTGATGTTACTCTGAGTGTATATCCACACCGGGCAGGCTTGAAAAATATGCCTGGCCACGGTGAGAATCGAACCTACGACCTTTGGAATACTAGCCCAATTATCAGTTGGCAGAGCATTGGGCTAGTATTCCAAAGGTCGTAGGTTCGATTCTCACCGTGGCCAGGCATATTTTTCAAGCCTGCCCGGTGTGGATATACACTCAGAGTAACATCACACAAGCATCTTATTCACCTGAGTACATTACACCAACACAGCAAATATCATATTCTTATTCAGCATTATATGAAATAAATAAAATTCAGGGCATTATATGAAATATTTGGAACAACCGGAAAATCTAATTATATGTGGAGTTCAACAAGGCCTCTGTCTTCGGACCGCTGCGTTTTATTTTCTTCGTCGATGACATAAAATATGTACTGTTTAATAAACGAGCAGGAGTGTTTTATTAGGTTAAAAAAAAGAGAGACCTAATAAAACACGACCTGCGAGTTATTAAACGGCTTCAAACACGGCTACAAATTCAATAGATATACCGCCTTATTAGTATTCTTTATATAAAGAATACTAATTAGGAGTGTTTTATCAGGTTTAAAGCCACTGCACGTTACATATTATGGTTGACATGATTTGCCAATAAGCTTATGAATTATTAATGATGTTTGAAATACAGTTTTTGCTTTTGAGGACAAAATTGAGGAGTCAACAGTTCGCGAGGTAATTGAATCATTCTTATATGTATAAAGAAGGTAAAGCTTTTATTATATACAGCCAAGTCTTAATACAAGTGGTTTACGTCTAGCCTCTAAGCTACAATCAGTGACATAACCGTTCCGGACACTTCAATGTTTGTCATCATTTTTTTCAAAATTGATTAAAAACAGCGCCTCGTCCCCCGCTCCCCTCTTCAATGTTGATTAATGGCAAGTTTGTATAAGTAAAAAGCCCTAAGAACGCCAACAAGTAATATATTTGGCCCTATGTTTTTATATTCAACATTAATTGAAAGGGGGAGGGGGGGGGGGAGGCGCATGTCAGATAATTATATGTAATATCCGGAAGGTTTTGTTACTGATTGATCAGTGACATGACCGTTCCGGACACTTCAATGTTTGTCATCATTTTTTTCAAAATTGATTAAAAACAGCGCCTCGTCCCCCGTTCCCCTCTTCAATGTTGATTAATGGCAAGTTTAAAACAGTAGCGATTGATACACCGGGTGGAAAGCGTAATTTAAAAATGAAAATTAAAGCCCAGCAAGTGACTTTCAGACAAGACATAACAAAATATAAAATTTATTGGCTAACGTTTCGTTGTATTGTTCACAACATCTTCAGAGCAATTAAACTTATTTACAAGCGTGTATTATATATATACAAATAGTTTCAAACGGTTACAGTATTCAAATAAGCGAATAAGAGGAAGGATGAAAAACAACCTGTCATTAAAAGCAATAGTATTAGTAAATTAAAGAAATAATGGTTAGTAATTAGAGACTTAGCAAAGCATTAGAAAAGGTCAAGAGGAGTTGACCTAATGTTAGCATTTAAAGTAGGACAAGTAGGATTAAGCTTGGATATGAAAAGGCTTTCGCGAATGAGTAAATCTGCTTCAGAACTAGCAGTGGAAAGGATTTTAAAATCAGAGGGTGAAATTTGATGTTTAGTGGTATGGATATGAGCGAGTATGCCTGACATGGTTGAAACAGAACGTTTCTTTCCAGTCAAAGGTGAAACACCCATGTGTTCAGAGATACGCGTGTGTATGTGTCGGCGAGTTTGACCGACATACAATGCACTACAGCATTGACACTTATACAAATACACCACATGTGATCTCAGTTCACCGGGAATTTTGTCCTTAAATGGAAAGAAATTGGAAAGACGGAAAGAAGGACGAAAGACGACACGTAAAGAAATGTGTGGATAGGCAGAAGAAAGAAATTTCTGAAGTTGTGATCGAATTTGCAAACCATGATGACCAGTGAAAGGAAGACAAAAATATATAACCTTTTTCGAGCAAGTATGAACTTTATCACGAGAATTATACATTTTATCAAGAAATGATTTCATACAACTATGCTTCTCTCTTAATGGTTATCCTGCAACACTTGTGGAATGTGGAACTTTTCTAATGCTTTGCTAGGTCTCTAATTACTAACCATTATTTCTTTAATTTACTAATACTATTGCTTTTAATGACAGGTTGTTTTTCATCCTTCCTCTTATTCGCTTATTTGAATACTGTAACCGTTTGAAACTATTTGTATATATATATAATACACGCTTGTAAATAAGTCGGTTTAATTGCTCTGAAGATGTTGTGAACAATACAGCGAAACGTTAGCCAATAAATTTTATATTTTGTTATGTCTTGTCTTGTCTTGTCTGAAAGTCATTTGCTGGGCTTTAATTTTCATTTTTAAGTGGCAAGTTTGTATAAGTAAAAAGCCCTATATATAAGAACGCCAACAAGTAATATATTTGCCCCTATGTTTTTATATTCAACATTGAAAGGGGGAGGGGGGCGCGCATATCAGAGAATTATATGTAATGTCCGGAAGGTTTTGTCACTGATTGTAGCTTAGCGACAATGGTGGGTGAGAAATTTAATAAGTAAATATGAAATTCAAACTGCAAAACCACAAATAAGAACTTTTTATGTGCAAAGACATCAAACAAATTAACTGCATACAAATAAAAACAACTTACCAAAATTAAAACGTTTATCCTCTGCATCGTTACAATTTGTCGTCAATCCGATGTAGGGATCTATTCCTTGGTTAGCAATTCGAACATCATTACGAGGGACTGCACACCGCGTCCCTTTATTAGGTACTTCATATACAGATAAACCTCCCCAAGAGGTCTGAGTTATAGCATGGTCTCGATCACGACAATTATCTGAAGGATCTGGAGTAAGGAGCAAATACAACATAGGAAGAAGATAACCAGTACCAGCCCTACATGTTCCCTCGAAACATCCCTTTCTTTTCAAATTGAACATGGCACTATTATCAAGAAACCGAGACTGAGCAGCTGGATCCAGACAGTTGTTGGAAAGTTCCACAAAAGATAAGTTTCCCCAATGCGCGTCCGCGTGTAGTATTCTTGTGTCATCAATACACATCCCTGTCTGCACATGTTTCACAAAGAAACAAGCAGCACCTGGAGAAAATAGGAAAAAATAACTGAAGTATAAATAATGGACTCCTGTTGCGTGTCTGTATGCTTGCGTTTTATATGAAGTACCATGTAAATGTAAGGTTGTTGATGGCACAGTGTCTTTCACAGCTCATTTATATACAGTATGACTTATATCCGACATAAGTATATTTCACTAAACTGATTGGTTGTTCAGTCGCTGATGTACAGGGTGTCCCCTAAAAAATGTCCCCTATCATATTTTGTGGTACTACATCGTTACCTGTAATCGAATATTCAAATTTTTTCATTTTTTTTATCAATGAACATATTACGTTAATCGTTGCATTTTTTCGCACCAAAATATTTAACACCAATATTGCCACTTGTCCAAATTGTGAATATTAGGTTTAAACATATTACTGAACGTAATAAAATATTTTAATGGTAAATGGCTACATATCTTTTCTAAAACTTGTAATTAGTTGTAGCCAAAATCGCGAATTTTAATTTTCTGTAAAAATAATGAAGCAATCCCCAGAAAAGGGGAAAGACTAGTGCTGAAATCCCAACATTTGCTCTTTAATGGAACAAATTGAACGAAAAACAGCAAATTTATGGCATTTTCCCAACCTTAGCTTTGCCTTTGTCAATTTGCCAGGGATTTTTCGTCTTTTTTTTATTAATTTCTACAAGAAACAAAAGTTTAATAAATAGAGATAAAAAACGTTTTGTTTTTGAGCAGAAAGGTGGGTAGAAACTTTAGCAATCCTTCTACAAAGTTTGCATTATTTTTAACCTAATTTCTGTAATTTGGACGGGTTGCAAAATTGGTGTCGCCACCTTAAGTATCTCTAGAAGCCTAACGGTTTAGTCTTTTGGTGAGATAAATACTGTGATTAATATAATATGATTCAACCCACTGCAAAAAATTGAACCTTTGATTAAATATAGCGAAGTAATACCACCAAATATGACAGGGGACATTTTCTTTGGGACACCCTGTACATTGTCATTTACATTGTTCATGTGATTGCAAGCAGTTATTCTGATCCATCCCTCAAAAATTTAACTCTACAGTTGGTTCAAATAATGTCAGTGAAGTTTAATCCAATATTTTATATTCAGACGGCTATCTTTAAAACAAGGAACGGGGAATCGGGGAATGGGAACGGGGAATGGGAATGGGAAGTGGGAACGGGGAATGGGAATGGGAACGAGGAATGGGAACGGAAGTGGGAACGGAAGTGGGAACGCGAACGGCAATCATAAAAAAACATCATTTAAAAAACGAATAAGTTCTTTGTACGTTTGCATGGTGAAAAAAGATAATTTATACTCTGTAGCCCTCACGGATCGAAAGCTTTGTTTATCTACAAAGTACAAATTGCAAAAAAAAAACGAAAAAGCAGCCGAGCTGAGAATGTCCATTTTATACATTCAATAAATTTATATCGTGCAGACATTCTGCTATGTTTAATTTATTATGATCTATGATAATTCATAGCTATTTTCGTAAATAAAATAAAGTTGAATTGCAAGCACTGTTTATCGTTAGCCGCGAATGACTCCCATCTTATATTCGGCTTTGTTTCAGCGGTATATTCCACAGAAACGGTCTTTTATTGTTAAAATAATCATACATGCAAAGTGCCATCTAATATACAGTAGAATCTCGCTATCTCGAATGGGAGGCGAAGATTGTTCAAGTTAGCACATGTTCGGTTAACAGGGATTTGTGTTGGATTTCGTTTCACAAAATTTAAGCCATTGCGATGCATTTTAATGGCATAATTCTTCGAGTTAGCAAAATTCTAGTGTATCACGTTCTCAAAACATCTAATGTTCTAGGTGATGTGCATGCACAAAGTTATCACGTGCACACTTGTTTTTATATACTGAACGGAGTTTCACCCTGAACCATTTTCAGACGATATGATTCTAAAAAATGCTGTTTTTGACCTGGACCAATGTTATAATGAAATATATCAAAATTAGTGCTACAACCGAAAACTCGTGAAAACTAAAGAACTATTATGTGCTAATTTCAGTTATAAGAACTAAACTATGTTAATCAGGTCTCATTCCTGCTGTCAGATTATTGTTAATAGTTAATACTACTGAAATACCAGTGTTGAATGCTGTATAGCCTGATAATGAAGAGGTTGAATACCATGAAAAGTAAGCTTATCCGCCTTCCATTTATCTAAATTGTCAATCCAAACTCCGCGTTCAATCTCTCAACGTGTTCCTGTCGAAAATGTTGGCGAAAATTGGGAGGAACAACAAGGGCACTAGCTGGAAATTCCGGATACCGTGCTCTTATGCATGCTATTCTGAGGTGAAAATGGACATTTTTTCTGTCCAAGAGGCAGTCATTGAGATTACCGGTGTCGTCGGGGTAGACGAATCATCACGGTGAGAGATCTTTCTTGCGATACATGCCACTGTTTACGTAGTTCTCAAGTCTGGACTTTCTTCGTGGCTTAGAGAACCCCACTGCTTTTCGTCAACAGCAAGATGTTGAAACTCAGGTCGTACCTCGTATGGCCCCTTGCCAAACACCGCGCGATCTTCGTTTTGATATATTTCATTATAAGATTGGTCCAGGTCAAAAACAGCATTTTTTAGAATCATATCGTCTGAAAATGGTTCTGCAGGGTGAAACTCCGTTCAGTATATAAAAACAAGTGTGCACGTGATAGCTTTGTGCATGCGCATCACCTAGAACATTAGATGTTTTGAGAACGTGATACACTAGAATTTTGCTAACTCGAAGAATTATTCCATTAAAATGCATCGCAATGGCTTAAATTTTGTGAAACGAAATCCAACACAAATCCCTGTTAACCGAACATGTGCTAACTTGAACAATCTTCGCCTCCCATTCGAGATAGCGAGATTCTACTGTATATTAGATGGCACTTTGCATGTATGATTATTTTAGCAATAAAAGACCGTTTCTGTGGGATATACCGCTGAAACAAAGCCGAATATAAGATGGGAGTCATTCGCGGCTAACGATAAAATGTGCTTTACTGCTGGCAGGGAATTTTTTTCTGGGATTGTTATGTGCAAGATTTTTTTTCCTATCCCATCACCATGTGCGATTTTTTTTTCACTCTCTTTCGCAGCATTTTTTTTCAATAGCTTATACTATTTAGATTCTTTATATATCTACATATCCAATGATTCATTCAAGTATTATTATTGTTTGTTATACATGATATTGTACAATATTCAGTGGCAAGCTAGCCATGACAGCTGGTCATGCTATGCTAACAAATCTGCATCTATTTGAATAATGCAAATCATTAAAAACTTGCATAGCATGACCTGTAGACTTTCACAAAGTCCTTCGTCTTTGTTTAGAATGAAGGAATTTTCAAGGAAGTAATTTCTTGAAGAGTAAGGAATTTGTAGAAGTCAATAGGATTAGAATATTTAGCTGACCGTTGACTTTGTGCAAGGTGTGCAGGTGAACAGGTGTGTTAGGGGTGCTTTACGTGCTTGTGTGATGGAAGAGGCAGCGATAGTAACTTCTAGTTCTAAGGTATATTTTTTATGATACGATGATATGAAGTGAAACTAATTACGTCATTATTCTAAATCCCTGTTATTTTGAAAGGCCTGGGTAAGTAAGTTTAGATTAATGCTCCGTAAAGCGTCTTGTTTAGATTCATATCATGCCACTAGTTCATGATGATCGAGATTCGAGGTTATAGATTCAGCACGGAAGTGACTGCGTGTTTGAAAGCGCATGAAATATAAATGCATGTTATAAATGAGAGAAAACGTACCTTGGAGTAACACGAAAATCACAGTCAGTATTACAAAATGAAAATACTTTGAAAACATCTTCTTTAATTGAGGAAGACTTCAATTCAAGTACGCGTTGTAAAAGCGGAACAAGAAATGAACCAACGAGGCGAAGTACAGCAACAGAAATATGCATTGAAACTCGACAGGAAATCGGTGGTGCTTTTTAAATTGCATGGATTAAATATCAAACATTCCTGTTTCTTTGCTGTCTATGGTGGTTTAATATCACAGTATTTACGAAAGCTTAAATCTCATTCATCAATCTAATGCAACATGCATCAAGATAATGCGTAATCTCGTTATATCTTAAAACAACTAAAACTACAGCCTTGATGTGAAGGATTCGACTAAACTCTACTGGCACTACTTTGCCAAACTCTGCCGTTGTGAAGTTAAATTCTTGAGGAATGGATCAGAATAACTGCTTGCAATAAACAATGTACATCAACGACTGAACAGTCAATGAGTTTAGTTAATTAGCTCCACTATTATATGAAGGTTAAAAGCCAAGGGAGAGGTTTTTATTAAACTGTACTGGACTCTATTAGTAAAAACCGCACTGTTGAACGGTACAAAAGGCCACAGGAACATAATCCGGTTCCTTGAATTTTCAATGATGATGCATGGAGTATTCTTGCTTCGATTTTCGCCCGTCTGGAGTTGCAAAAAGTCTTTGCACTCCAGAAGATTTTGTCCATTTCGTAGACGACGAGTTTGACTTTGACTCCTTCGCAGACTTGCTGCCAACATGTGCCAAATGGAATGCCGGCAGGAAACATATTAGTTTCAAATCAACACTACAGTAGCACATCCCTTATTCCCTTAATGAAGATGAGTTTGCCGAAGCTTTTTGGCTTGCATTCTTTGGCATAAAGTATGTCATACATCATATACAAGAATACTCCATCATTATTGAAAATTCAAAGAACCGGATTATGTTCCTGTTGCCTTTTGTACTGTTCAACAGTGAGGCTTCTTTCACGAAACAGGATTTCGAGTCAATGGACTCGACATTATTCTTTTTGGCAACCACTTTTTCTGGTTTTCCAGTGTATTTTGCTAGGTATACGGACCCAAACGTACCGCAATCCAACTTAGTTTCTTTTTCGAAGAGTTTCCACTCAAACTTTGGCAACTCTGGTCCTTTTTTGCCTTTCTTTTCAGACTTGTTGGGATTTTAAAGCTCGCTGCCATTTTGTCCCATTTTGGTCGAATTTTGGCGCGAAATAGTGGTCCTAGTCCGCCAAATAGAGTCCAGTTCGCGTTTTACTAATAGAGTCCAGTCGGCGTTTTACTAATAGTGTCCAGTCTGCGTTTTACTAATAGAGTCCAGTCCGCGTTTTACTAATAGAGTTCAGTCCGCGTTTTACTAACAGAGTCCAGTCCGCGTTTTACTAATAGAGTCCAGTCCGCGTTTTACTAATCTGAGTCCAGTCCGCGTTTTACTAATACAGTCCAGTCCGCGTTTTACTAATAGAGTCCAGTCCGCGTTTTACTAATACAGTCCAGTCCGCGTTTTACTAATAGAATTCAGTCCGCGTTTTACTAATAGAGTCCAGTCCGCGTTTTACTAATAGAGTCCAGTCCGCGTTTTACTAACAGAGTCCAGTCCGCGTTTTACTAATAGAGTCCAGTCCGCGTTTTACTAATCTGAGTCCAGTCCGCGTTTTACTAATACAGTCCAGTCCGCGTTTTACTAATACAGTCCAGTCCGCGTTTTACTAATAGAGTTCAGTCCGCGTTTTACTAATAGAGTCCAGTCCGCGTTTTACTAATAGAGTCCAGTCCGCGTTTTACTAATCTGAGTGCAGTCCGCGTTTTACTAATACAGTCCAGTCCGCGTTTTACTAATAGAGTTCAGTCCGCGTTTTACTAATAGAGTCCAGTCCGCGTTTTACTAATAGAGTCCAGTCCGCGTTTAGTCCGCGTTTTACTAATAGAGTTCAGTTCGTGTTTTACTAATAGAGTCCAGTCCGCGTTTTACTAATAGAGTCCAGTCCGCGTTTTACTAATAGAGTCCAGTCCGCGTTTTACTAATAGAGTCCAGTCCGCGTTTTACCAGTCCAGTCCGCGTTTTACCAGTCCAGTCCGCGTTTTACCAGTCCAGTCCGCGTTTTACTAATAGAGTACAGTTCGCGTTTTACCAGTCCAGTCCGCGTTTTACTATAAATAGAGTCCAGTCCGCGTTTTACCAGTCCAGTCCGCGTTTTACTAATAGAGTCCAGTCCGCGTTTTACTAATAGAGTCCAGTCCGCGTTTTACCAGTCCAGTCCGCGTTTTACCATATGCCACACGGCTGTTGACTCTTTCTCGACTTAGAGACGTGCAGCGTTTTCTGGTCGAAAAGGAGATGTGGGTCTTGAGTTTTCCTGCAAATTCAAAACTCATGCCAGGTCTTGAATTGAAAATGTAAAACCAGGTAACTGGTTATTATTGTTTCGTAATAACCGGGTACCAGGTTATTATTGAAAATTAATAACCTGGTACCCGGTTATTAATTTTCCATAATAACCTTCAACCCATTTGAATACTTTAAAAATGTATTTGGAATAGAGTTAACTTAATATTTAAGTTCCCTTTTTAAGAAATAGGAAATATACGAATCTTCTCTCATTTCAAGGGAACGACCTGAGACTGCAATCACAGCTTCAATTTTTGAATTGCAGAATAATTAGATGCACTATCTAGTGTATATAAGATATCTATGCTTCAACCCTGCATTTCCCCCCGGAGAAATCAAATACCAACTCCTGCTTTTAGATTGAAGGTTATTACGGAGGAGTTAAAGGATTTAATTAGTGTCACACCAGGAATTCGCAGGCTCAAACTCCTGCTGGCGGCCATTTTTCGGGACGAATAGATTACATAGATGATCTGGAAAGTTTTTACAATCCGTCATATCATGTTTCGCTCGCTACTCTGGTTTAAATAAATGATTACAAAGCCCGGTCGAATTGTAATCAAGACCCAACGTTTCGACACTCCAGTCTAGTGTCTTCATCAGGGGTGATCTAAAACTGCGATCGTGGCTTCTTAAATACCCAAGGGATGACGTCACCTGCGAAGAAGATGCATATATTCCTCTGGCAAATAGGCGCCGTCATCCCTATTCAAAGCATGATGACTCGTATTTATATGCCACGCTTCTAGGCAAAGTCTTTGAATGTATAGCATGAGTCTTCTGATTTTTTTTCAACAGGATCTTTTGGCCTTGCGAAAATATGGCCTAAAGTCAAATAGAGTTTTAAGGCAACCTTAATATTACAATTACTTAAGATTCTCTTGATTGGTTCTGTGACACCTTGAATGTATGGAACTATTGCAAAACCCTTAATGTATGGAACTATTGCAAAACCCTTAGCAATAGTTCCAACTTTGCCTAGAAGCGTGACATATAAATACGAGTCATCATGCTTTGAATAGGGATGACGCCCTATTTGCCAGAGGAATATATGCATATTCTTGGCAGGTGACGTCATCCCTTGGGTATTTAAGAAGCCACGATCGCAGTTTTAGATCACCCCTGATGAAGACACTAGACTGGAGTGTCGAAACGTTGGGTCTTGATTACAATTCGACTGGGCTTTGTAATCATTTATTTAAACCAGAGCAGCGAGCGAAACATGATTGATATACCTGGTTGCAGTGAACGAACAAACTTTAAATCCGTCATATATTTAAATCATCCTTTTAAAATCCTTGCTCTTTTTGTCTGATTTGTATCAGAAATGTGCCAAACAAGGTTGTTTTATCGCTATTTGTTGTATTTGAGTAAAATGTAAACAACAAACGCCCGCAATGCATGACCCTGACACTAATCCTTTAAAACCCAACAAAATACAAAAGAATATGGTCTGATGAGTTTGTAATAGATAAGTAAATACGGCAGCGCTGCATATTTGAAATGACAGAAAACAGACCTTGTGTGACAGGAAAATCCATACCACTAGTACAAACTGATAACACTTTGGTAACATCTTCTTTAATCCTGGTAGTAATCCAGGAAACACCTCATAATTCGGCGAACAAGATGTTGGAATTTACATTATAAACAGCGGAACACGAAATGAATCAATGTGGCGAGGCAAAATCAGATAAATATTCGTTCAAACTCGACATAAATGGCTATAATTGTATGAATAACAAATATAAAATAATTCTTTGTTGTCTGTTGTGGTTAAATCACAACATTTACAAAAGCTTAAAAACTCTAGGTAACACATAATGGAAGGCAATGTGTGTCTGTATTCATATTCAAAGTATTTTTTGAGCAAGAAGTTTAGTTAAGTCAAAGATTTTATTTTCATAATTTTGTTTTATTCTCAGATATGCACAAAAAGCAGCTGTGATGTTATGGTGTAACAATTTTAATGTTCGGAACAAATTATTTGGAGCATTTTTCCAACTCCTCTGGAGTTATGAGCAATTGAAAATATGTTTTTGTGCTAGTGTCCAGCCGATCTGTGTAATGACTATATACTGTACTGTATACTATATGACTCAATAAGACAACATAATACTACATGCTTGTTTTAACCATTAGTGCTAACTGCCAGGCGAACTGCAAAGTACTTTAAGAATGAATATTTTCGAAAAAAACAGACGCGCTCTTCTTTAGTGGTATACTTGTACTTAAAGTTGCATATTTCTATATACCCAACGACAACACTGCATGGTCACGTCTTGTTTAGATTTATAACCATTGCCACTTATGAGGTTAGGTTCAGCGCGGACGCGACGGCGTGTTTGAAAGCACTTGAAATACAAATACATGTTGTAATCGACAGAAAACGTACCTTGGAGTAAAAGGAAAATCACAGTCAGTATTACAAAATGAAAACACTTTGTCTTTGAAAACATCTTCTTTAGTTGAGGAAAGAACTTTTTTCAATTCAAGTACGCCATATGAAAGCGGAAGAAGAAATGAACCTACGAGCCGATGTAAAATAACAGAAAGATTCATTGAAACTCAGCAGGAAGTCTGTGGTGCTTTTGAAATTACATGAATAACAAATATCAAACATTCCTAAATGTTTCTTTGCTGTCTATAGTGGTTAAATCACAGTATTTACGAAAGCTTAAAATCTCATGCATCAAGCTAATGCAACATGAATGAAGATAATGCAAGCTAATTAACTGTTTATTGCAAGCAGTTATTCTGATCCTTTCCTCAAGAACTTCACTTCACAACGGCAGAGTTTGGCAAAATTAGTGCCAGTGGAGTTTAATCAGTCGAATCCTTACATTAAGGCTGTAGTTTTAGTTGTTTTACATTGAGATATAATCAATACCACTATTATTATATAAGTAAATACGGCAGCGCTGCATATTTGAAAATATTCTTTCAAACTCGACATAAATGGCTATAATTGCAATGTGCACAAAAAGCAGTTGCACCCTGCTGTGATGGTATAACAATTTTAATTAATCTTCGGAACAAATAATTTGGAACATTCTTGTAGGCGTATTGATCCTCCCTTGTCTAATATGGGTGTGTTCTACTAAGGGGTCGTTCACAAAATACATGACGCTTTTATGCCCATTTTTTACACCCCCTGTGACGCCCTGTGACGTTTGGTGTTACACCGTATGCAAAACTACGTGACATCAAACAAATCCCTCCTTCGCCGTTCATTGTTAGCAGGTTTGGATCTATTTAACAGGGCCTCTTTTAAGAATTTATCAGTGGAGGGGCCATCAAGAAAAACGAGCCTAACTTATAGAGATGGTGAACTACAAAAGTGGGAACTTGTAGGAGGTCTGGATCTCATAAATGTGTTTTATTTTTAAACCTCTGAAGCTCGGTTTTTATACACAGTTGTTGACCAAACTCATCCACTAGACGAGAATTTGATCATGTAAATACACTGTTCTTAACTAAGTTATTCTTTCCCCTTATATTTTAGACAGAAAGGACCTTCACTGGGGGGGGGGCAACATTGCTCAATGGAGGGGCAAAACTGGGGGCTGGGGGACAAGTCCAAATAGTGGAGATTTAGTTTCTTTTCCTTGCTCCTGCCAGTGCCGACATTTCTGACGTTGACGACCATCTGCTGCACACCACTTGAAGAACTCGAGGCGATTGTGAAACTTTTACACTGTTTATATTACCATAAGGCTTGGTTTAGGCATAGACATTCAAAGGATTGATAGAGATTCATTCCTTTGGATGTCTTTGATTTAGGCAGGCCAAGGCCAACAATCGCAGTGAGTCCAGACTTTCTGACCTAAAGGTACGTTTACACGCTGCGATTTGTCGGGCCGATTTTGCTCGCTGTATGTAAATAACCTGTCGTCAGTACTCGCGTCAGCAACTTGCGATTCACAAAATCGGGAGAAAAATCTGTAACAAAACCACAGATTTTTCTCACGATTCAACGATTTTTCTTCCGTTGTAAAGTTGTTGAAAACGTTTCGCACGCAGAAAACTATAACATGAACAGACGAGAGAGCGGACAGTTTCAATTGAACGTTTAAATCGCTAAATGTCGAAGAAGGGGCATCGATTTTTTTTCAAAATCGGCCCGACAAATCGCAGCGTGTAAACGTACCTTAAGTCAAGTCTAGCCTAGCCTAATGTTCGTTCACTCTACCAAAATGTAGACCAAATCAAGGATCAGGCCATGCCTAGTTTGCAGTGTAAACACCACTATATAGATTATAACTACACAGCTAAAAACGATCAGGTTGTTGCAATGTTGATGAAAACAGGATTGAACAATGTTGTGCGACCCACATTGTTCACAGTTGTCAACAATATTGATCATTATTATTTATTTAAAAAATTCCTGGTTTCTGATGGGCTAACAGCCAACTGTGAAATTGTCATATCAACTCAATGGCTAACCAAATATGGATTTTTCACATTCATAATAGCAAAATGATGTCAAAGAGTCAATATGACAAAGATTTGGACGCGTTTGCGCCATATTACCACAGATTAAGTGTATACCAGATGCGTAACTTGATAGGAATTCGTGTCCTCAAATTTCCCTAGATGTACACGTCATGCTCACGCCATGACACTTGCTAGGAAGATGGCGTCCTGGAAAACAAGAACTTTTGCATTTTATTGCGGCTTTCTTGGATCGAAATTTGTGGATTAAACAATCAAGAACATCATTTGTTGAATGTTTAAAGTTATTAAAAGCAATTAAAGTTCTAGAAAAGGTGTTGAAAACATTTTTAAAGACAATGACGTACTACCAAATGACGAATAATCACGCGAGCGACACTTGCTAGGAAGATGGCACAGAGTAGAGACATACAGAGACGTAACTAGTGTACCCACTTTTTTTGTGCGCATGCTCGGCAAGTTACTAGATGCATGCATCTGATTGGATGACGACCTGATGACGACTCACTTTAAACTTGCTGAGCACGCGCAGTTGATCATTTTTCGCCCGGTCGCATGAAAAAAAGTGGGTACATGATAACGTAATCTTCCGCAGTGTTTACAACGGTCAGTTACGTCTCTGTATGTCTTATCTACTCTGTGAAGATGGCGACCGTGGGACAACTTTTTTACTGAAGTTACACATCTGTTCTTACTTAATCTATGATATTACTATGACGCCATCGGCAAACTTCGGACTTCATAATTCTTTATATCGTGCTCAACCTCATTCAATAATTGTTAAATATTGTTACACCCGATTCAGGCTCAACAATATTATTCAATATTGTTGACAAGTGTGAACAATGTGGGCAGCAAAACATTGTTCAATCCTGTTAAACAGTGGGCTCATAATTTTTACGCGTGTAGTTAACGTATATTTTAGATATAATGATAAAGGTCATTTATACAGATTGATACTTTTGTATTCAAGTCGAAAACATTCAGTTTGGTTTTAATATTAACAAATGTATGCCGACTTCTTTTTCTATACTGAGTTTATCTACTAAGACCACTAGATAAACCAAACGGGCTTCGTACAAGCCTTCTTAAAATCCAGTTTGCTTCTGATTCACATAGTCCGTGTCCGTGTGTACTTCATGTAGATGGGCATATAAATGACTATCATTTTCTTCCTCCCCAGGGCCAGGTTTTTTGAGAGCTGTATACGTCGACTCTTCATTTTCCATGTCTTCATAATTCGCATCATCATTGTCAGGATTTTTATCAATTTCTTCTGAATTATTTCTGTCCTTGCTCTTGTTCTCCGGGCTTGCCTTCAATGATTTGAGTCGACGATTTTGATAGATGAAATAAGCAATTATAACAAATGAAATTACCAGCAGAATTGCTAACACTATAATTCCAGCAAGATATTTTTCACCTATGGGAAAATTAAACAACACGTTAACTTTGAATGTCTAAAAATGTACATCTTCGGAACACGCAATCATTTAAGATAACTCATTTAAATTTTAAAACAGAAACGGATTGTGTTCTGATTAGTTTTTGTTTTATAAAATTTATGAAGGTTGCATAAATCAAATGTAGCATTACCTGTATCTTTTTGGATCGAAATTGTGTGAATAGTGCTTTGAAATTGATCTTGGATATGAGAAATATATTTTCCGAAACTTGTTTGGTCTTTCACTGTTACAGCAAGTAAAGAACTGCGGTGAGGCTTTTCAGTTTCCATGAAACTTTCCAGTGACTTTTGGTCTTTTTCCCAGGTGAAAGTAATTGGAAGTTCACCTTGAGCAGAACACAGTAGGTTGACAAGATCACTTTCCTTTGCCTTTGTCTCACCACTGGACATGTTGGTCAATACACGAGGGCCACCTGGGAAACAGAAATATACAAAATCATTTAAAGATTGTAATAATATACTGTCTCCATAAATTCACAATTCAATTTCTGTAGTATACTTCGTTAGGGTAAAAGTAGTATACTTCGTTAGGATAACAGCAGATATATAGCTCAAGTATCAGTAGAATTTTCTTAAATGACGTACCTGGAACTAGGACGTCGCCGACCGTTTTTGAAGCAGGACTCCAATCTGTCGAGTAATATTCACTCTGTAGAAAAAAAGTGATGGTATATTTGTCTGTCAAGTTAAAAATAATGTTCAGAATTGAATGTAGACTCATAGGGTAAATAAAAATATGTGTTTAACAGTGAGACAGTTCCCTCAAATATTTCTTACAAAACCTTCAAAACTTAAACTTCCCACTGTGATCAGAGAAATTTTGATAGTGTAAACCAGGCTTTAGACAAGGAAATTTTTACTTCTAAAGTGTGATAACCAACAAATACTGAAAATACCATACCTTGTCATTGATAAAAATCCTTTGAAAAATACTGTAACTAGTGCCAGGCTCCAACGGACCATTATAATAACCACTTGAGGTTGATCTGCGTCTTCGTGATGTTGGATTACTTGTATTTCTGCCATCACCAAGTGTAAACATGTTTTCATCCTTTGATGTTAGTACTGCAGCGATATAAGGTTTCGGGTCGCTTGATTTTTCTGTCTCAGCGTACGTTACTAACTCGTTGTTTTCATAACTTGCTGGAGATTGAACTTTCTGTCCGTCTTTTAATTTCAAAGCCACGACGTAAAAATGCCTACAAACAAATTTCTATATGATAAAATGCGCAAGGTAAATTCACAGAACAGCCTTAACGTCCTGTGCAGGTCGTTATCGCGAGGTGCAATATTCCTATGTGGTTTTTTAAACGTTTTGAACTTACGTGAAATTTCGTGAAGGAATCTGCAAGGGGAAAGTCAGTGTATATTCTGTTTCATTTGTGGACACCTGTGGTTGTTCTATGAAGAAAATATGTAGACTTATGAATTATTTAAATAAAATATAAAGCATGGGCAACCGTAGCGTGCGTCGCAGACGGTAGGTGAAACTTTGGGACGGTAAGTTTAAAGACGGTCAAACTTACCGTCCCAAAGTTTCACCCACCGTCTGCGACGCAGGCAGTAGGGCAACCGATCTGTATCCTTCTCACTATTTGAGAAAATCTAAGCTAAAGTTTATCTTTAACAGGTCGAAATCTGTATCCGATTTACAAATATAGCTCTCTTTCTTTTATTCATTACGCGTCTTAATGCAAAAGAGGAACTTACTTCCATTGGTGAATTTCCCTTTACTTTCACTGTATGGTCCGGGACCAACTTTAGTGCTTGCAAGAACACGAACATAATATTTGGTTGAGGCATTCAAACTTGCGATAACTAACATCTTTTCCTTTGCAGTTTGTTCTTTAAAGCAAGGTTTACTTTTTTCATGTTGACGATCATACCATTTTTTTTGTCTTTTTCAGGAGGTTCCCACGTGACAGATAATGATGATGAGCTTTCTGCAGTCACTTTGACATTCAGTGGAGGACCTTCTGGGGCTAAAAGTCATATGAGTTGATATGGTAAGTTGTTTCTTATAAAATAAAGTATATTAGTTAGAGATGTATAGGGAGGGGATTTTTTAGCACTAATGCATGACAATTCTGCTGAATCTTAGCCATGGTGTGCGAGAATGTCGTCATTGTGTGCGAGAGTTGTTCAAATTCCACATAACCAACATGGTACCTTCCCTAGGAGAACCAGCCACGCTGACTGACGCTTACAGATAGAAAGGTTTAAGAAAAGCGCTAGACTCGGATTTGAATAACCAACACTCACATCACGTGACTAGACAACCATAGCATTTAATTGGACTTTTCTTGCGCATGGCCAGTGGTGTTACTATTACTGTAATTTATTTAGCGCGAAACTTTACTTGCAGTGAGTAGCTCCAGCAATCAAATTGAAGGATTCGTAACAAATGGCTAATAACATATTTATACTAGTAGTATAGTTACCGCAAGTGCTTTAACGCGAGTGTAGACATACCATATACCTTACCTTTCTTTTTCTCACGAACTACCGTTTCAGATTCCTCTACAGCTGACCAGGTACTGCCGATATACAGAGGCGGCGAATTATTGAATCGCAGTCGGCAAATTGTTTTCATAGTCGGCAAAATATGAATTGGATAGGAAGGAAAAAAGTAAAATATAGGAGTGACACTGATTAAAAACTAATAATAATAGCAAAAATTTAGGGAGATTACGAAAACATTAAGGGAAAATTACTGCAAACAACGTTACGTTAACCCTAAAGAAAATGAAAATACAGTATAATGTCCGGAAAATTTTTTTATGTCGAGTTAATTTTGGGTAAGCAATTTTCGAGAAAATACACGTGCACCAACAACTTCTTCGACTACCCCACCGTCATTTGTATTTATCTTTACGTCTTCAGGTTCAGGCAATCCAAACCGTTGAACAATGTTACGCAACAAGTCTTCCAAAGGGTACTGCACACTAAAATACTATAAATACACAATAAAATTGTCATCAAATACCATGTTATTAATTTTATATAACGTTTTTGTTCTTACCTTCCCACCATGTTTCTTGCCGACCGAACGCACGATGATTCTTTTACAAGAACTGGACGCCATTCAGTTCTACTTGTGCAACTAATCACAAAAATATGCCACGTATATGCGTACTTAACCATGTCAAAATATGACATAGGCCTAAAGCACATTGCAAAGTTAGCTTTCGAAATTAAATCTAGTACCGTTTCTCACCAAGTTGAACTGAGTAATAGCGTTTTATTAATGAGTAAAACTGAGTAATAGCGATCTATTACCTAGTGGAACTGAGGAATAGCGATCTGTCACCTAGTGAACTGACTGAGTAATAGCGATCTATTACCTAGTGGAACTGAGTGATAACATTCTATTACCTAGTGGAACTGAGTAATAGCGTTCTATTACCTAGTGGAACTGAGTAATAACATTCTATTACCTAGTGGAACTGAGTAATAGCGTTTTATTACCTAGTGGAACTGAGTAATAGCGATCTATATTACCTAGTGGAACTGAGTAATAACATTCTATTACCTAGTGGAACTGAGTAATAGCGTTCTATTACTTAGTGTAACTGAGTAATAACATTCTATTACCTAGTGGAACTGAGTAATAACATTCTATTACCTAGTGGAACTGAGTAATAACATTCTATTACCTAGTGGAACTGAGTAATAGCGATCTATTACCTAGTGGAACTGAGTAATAACATTCTATTACCTAGTGGAACTGAGTAATAGCGTTCTATTACCTAGTGGAACTGAGTAATAACATTCTATTACCTAGTGGAACTGAGTAATAGCGTTCTATTACCTAGTGGAACTGAGTAATAGCGATCTATTACCTAGTTGAATTGGGTATTCAATATAAAGTGTTTTTGCGAGATTTTATGTTCGCCAATGGCGGTAACATGCCTTTTAGGTAATACTAGCTAAAGCAAGTCACTTACGAATATTGTTTGCTTCTATTTACCTGTATATTCGTTCGTTTTTGAAGCAGAGCTCCAGTCTGTGGAGTAATAATCGCCCTAAAGTAAAGAAAGTGAAAGAAAATATTTCTGTCAAGTTATAGATACACATGGACGTCAGCACTTGTTCTCCGAATTATGCGGACGAAATTTTGTTTCTACTATGCTTGGCGTCTGTGTCAAAGTGCTTATAAACCTTTCTGCTTTATAGGTGCCTTGATAATTTAAGTATGTTACCCTGGCTAAGGTTAGACTTTTTCCCCACAAATACCAAGTCTCTTGACAAATACCATACCTTGTCATTGATAAAAATCCTTTGAAAAATACTGTAACTAGTATCAGGCTCCAATGGACCATTATAATAATCACTCGATGTTGATCTTCGTCTTCGTGATGTTGGATTACTTGTATTTCTGCCATCACCAAGTGTAAACATGTTTTCATTCTTTGATGTTACTACTGCAGCGATATAAGGTTTCGGGTCGGTTGATTTTTCTGCCTCAGTGTACGTTACTAACTCATTGTTGTCATAACTTGCCGGAGATCGACCTTGCTGTCCGTCTTTTAATTCCAAAGCCACGACGTAAAAGCGCCTACAAACAAATTTCTATGTGATAAAATACGCAAGGTAAATTCACAGAACAGCCTTAACGTCATGTGCAGGTCGTTATTGCGAGATGCAATATTTCTGTGTGGTTTTTCAAACGTTTTGAACTTACGTGAAATTTCGTGAAGGAATCTGCAAGGTGAAAGTCAGTGTATATGCTGTTCCATTTGTGGACACCTCTGGTTGTTCTGCAAGAAAATATGTACGTTTGTTTAAACATCATGATAAAACTACAAGCCTCATGTTTATAAAGATTGCATTTACGTCTGAACGCAAGGCGACACTTACTTCCATTGGTAAATTTTCCTCTACTTTCACTGTAGGGTCCACGACCAACTTTAGTACTTGCAAGGACACGAACATAATATTTGGTTGAGTCAATCAAACTTGCGATAACTAACATCATATCCTTTGTATTTTGCTCTTCAAAGCAAGGTTTACTTTCTTCATGTGAGATACACACAGTATAATTGACGATAATTCCATTTCTTTTGTCTTTTTCAGGAGGTTCCCACGTGACAGATAATGATGATGAACTTTCTGCAGTCACTGCGACATTCAGTGGAGAACCTTCTGGAGCTAAAATTTAAAATGAGATAATATGGTAAGTTGTTTTTGTAAAATAAAGTATATTAGTTAGAGATTATAGGGAGGGGATTTGTTAGTACTAATGCATGACAATTCTGCTGAATCTTAGCCATGGTATGCGAGAATGTCGTCATTGTGTGCGAGAGTTGTTCAAATTCCACATAACCAACATGCTACCAGCCACGCTGACTGACGCTTACAGATAGAAAGGTTTAAGAAAAGTTAGCCAAAAATAAAAACTGAAACGAACATCACACTAATCTTTCTTTAAAAATGACATTGACGATCAAAGTCATAATCTGTAATAATGAAACTATTCTGAAATAGTTTCAAACCATTAAATAAGGAACAGTCTATCAACTTATTTAAAAGTGCAAAAGCAACTACTGATTTTGTAAGAAATGAAAGAAAACTTTACACCCTGTAGATTGACAAAGAATTCTGTGAATTGTCTACGCTTTTATCTATTTTATTTCACCTTCTTCAGATGTTTTGAACGAAGTAATTGTCTGTTCTCCAAAACCATGTTTATTTCGAGCTGCGACTGATATTTCATATTTAGTGTACGCGCGGTGTCAGATTATCTAAATCGTATTCATTGTTTTTATGTTTTACGTGACCAGACCGAAATTTTTTTTTTGTGTTTCAATTTCACAATTTTATTAAATTTAAACATAACAAATAAAATACAGTACTACACGCAAAATAGCAAAGCTAAACGAGGCGTGTAGTTACAAATCAGGATTATATGCTCATATTTATTATTAATGTAACAATGTAAGGTGTTACATGAATAATAACTTATCTTAGTAGTAAAAGTATACTTTTGGCATAAAATTATATACTAAATATCTAATATTTCGCATATATAACAACCACTTAATAATTTCTTGAATACTATAGGCCTATTATAACAACTATGTCATGAGAATCTTAGAATTGTTTTCAATGCTTGACCATTTGTTGAACTATATTGTGGGTACATCAACATAATCATCCTCAAGCTCAAGTATTGTTAAAAGGGTTTTCTTTATATTTTATTGAAGTTCGTTCTTCCCAATTCACGCACATCAGTGGAAATATTATTCCATACTTTTGCTCCAACTCTTGCGAATGATGAATTTGTTGTTGTAAGTCTTGCATATTCAATATAATAATTCTTAGATACGCAATGCCTATAGTGTTATGGTTGTGAATTTGTCTTGAGTGAATGAAGCAATCAGAAATTGAAGATGGGCAAGACTCGTTAGAAACATCGTGCATTAAATTGCAAACAGTTTTGATATAAAGCATATTTATAGGAAGCATTTTTTATTCAATAAAAAGTGGAATAGCATGTTCTTTGTATTTTTTTAAATAAATTAATCGTAATGCCCGTTTTTGTAAAATAAGTGTCTTATTGACATACCTTTTTGACGCATGCCCCAATACAATTAAGCCACAAGTTATATGTGGTAATATTATTAAACAACGATATATATTATGCAAAGTTGAAACAGGTACAAAGTGTCTCAGTCTAGCAATTATGGCGATAGCTTTACTTATTTTAGAGCTAATGTTGTCAATGTGGTATTTCCATGTAAGATTACTATCTATTAAAACTCCCAAATATTTGACAAATTCTTTGCATTCGATTTCAATGGAATTGTTCGTACTAGCTATTATCAAACAATTTTGGAGTTAACATGTCAGTTTCATGTCACACGGTCACGAGTAAAGTTTTTACAAGTTTGAGTTTTTCGGTTCATTATCGCCATGCATGTATATGCTTTGTATGCTTTATATAAAAAGGTTTAGAAGGATTTTCAAGATATTTGTGTGATAATTGTTGCAAAATTTAAGCACAACGAAATCATAATATCGCTATAGCCTATAGCCTATAGCGGAAACGGACTTGATACACATTAAATTCGAGGTAAATTTTTCTTTTTCAAACTTTGAAAGTTATTCACGCCACAGATTTCTGTTGTGATGGCTTTTTGTCCCTTTTCGTTTGTATATTTAACTCATTCTGATTCAATATTCTTCTTTCAGTATTAAATACGATTTAAAATTATTTTGTTTACATTTCCTATTTCGTACGACATAAAACTGACATTTGAACTGACAAATGTCAAAACGTGTGTAATGTGCAGGGGGATTATGATAAATTGATTCATGTCAATGGGTGGTGGGCATTGATTACCTTTGCATTTACAATAGAAGTAGAAAGGTTCAGATTTGACTTCCACTACCGTTACCATTAACCAATCAGATGTGTTTAATCCACACGAATCAAATGTGCATTAAACCACTGACAGGTAGCAATAGTGGAAGTCATATCTGAACCTCTCTATTCTCATTAGTCATATACATACCACAAAGTTCATTAAAAGACGTCGTTGTATTAACACATTGATATTCAAAGTAAAGATATTTTGTCAATCCAGGACATGGATCACCAGAGAACAAGTTGCCATCCACAGTTATATTGCATTCATGTTGACCATCACATTGTTTCTTAACAAGACATGTTACATCAACTTCACAACTATGATCATCACTCAAACCACATGTCTTTATGGGAGACAATCTACGGTACGATGCAGTCTTGACCACCATGTACTGATCTTTAGGACAGTTGGCATTCTCTACCATATTTCCATGACACGTCACTGAACCTGGAACAGAACAAAATTTTAGAAATGACGAGCACTAAATGACAATATCAAGTAGGGCAAGAGATTTTGTTGAATGGCATAGTGATGTATACAAAATGCAAAACACCATTGCTGGACATGATATTCTTATACAGAAATTCAGCATTATATGAAACTGATATTTGGAACAACTATACAGGGTGTATAAAAAAAACTGAACAGATTTGAAATTATATAATAGTTTTGTTTGTGGAAACACCACGTAAATTTGTTACTGCAAAGCTTTCGATCCGTAAGCCCGGATCTTCATCAGTGCTAATAATATGTGACTTCAGTTGTTAAATTCACAACAGAAATTTGAAATTGCTCTCAATTTCGCAAAACAGCTATTAGTATCCAGTTTTTTATATATATGGCTTCTTTGGGTACTTACAATGTAGAATAATGAAAAAATTTCTCGAACTCGAATTTTGTAAACCAGGGGGGTGTCTTTTCCAACAAATGTCTTTTTCATCGTATTTTCAGTTAATGGGTGAAAAATGTGTTGGGTGTTTAATTTCTGCACGACATTTCAAACAATTTGCTTCAATTTAAGCTTTAAATATTCACGCAAACTTGCATTTTTTCCTAAAAGATCAGCTATTTGCATGCTTAATTAATGCATTTGCCTAATTTGCATGAGCAATATGCAAATTAGGTAAAGGCGTTAATTTAGGGAAAAATGAATAGTTAAAGGCTTAAACTAAAGCAAATTGTCTGAAATTTTGTACAGTAATTAAAAACCCAACAAATTAACTCAAAATATTATTAAAGCTTTTAAATTTCGTGCGCAAGCCATTTTTAGTTTGTTTGAAAAGAGACCCCCTGGTTCACAAAATTTGAGTTCGAGAAATTGTTTTCATTATTCTACATTATAAGTACCCAAAGAAGCTATATACATGAAAAACTGAATACTAATAGCTGTTTTGCGGAATTAAGAGCAATTTCAAATCTGTTCAGTCAGTTTTTTTGTACACCCTGTAGAGTGTTGCTCGTGATTTACTTAATAAGGAAAATCTAATTATACGTCGAGTTCAACAACGCTCTGTCTTCAGACCGCTACGTTTTATTTTCTTCGTCGATGACATAAAATATATTTGTTTTTTGTGGGCAAAATAAAGACGTCGGCAGTTCCCGAGGTAATCGAATCATTCTTATATGTATAATGAAGGCATAAACATTTTACTGTATATAATACAGCTAAGACAAGTCTTAATACAAGTGGTTTACCTCTAGCCATAGTGGTCTAGCTTCTAGGCTAACTTAGCAGCAATGTTGGACGATAAATTTAATAAGTAAATATGAAATGCAGACTGCAAAATCACAAATAAGAACTTTTTATTATTACCGACATTACATTATTATTCGACTCATTCCCCATTGGTGCTTTTCAGTGACCGATTACATCAAGTATTACGCTCATGATAATACTTACTTAGCCTAGACTATTTATCTTTACAACAATTCAGATATTACTTTACTAACTGTGTTTGGGCCCTGTCAACTTTCCCAGTGGCAGGAAACTGGAGCACCCAGAGAAAATCCACGACTTTCGTCAGAGCGTTGACTGACTCTTTTCACATGAGTCCATAGCGAGAATCGAAACCACGAACTCAGAGGTGAAAGACGCTTGCTCTGATCGACTGAGCCACCGAAACCCCCAAAGACATCAAACAAATTAACTGCATACAAATAAAAGCAACTTACCAAAATTAAAACGTTTATTCTCTGCGTCGTTACAGTCTGTCGTTAATCCGATGTAGGGATCTATTCTTTGATTTGTAGCAAGTTGGTCATCTGTTTGAGGGACTGCACACCGCGTCCGTTTATCAGGTAGATAATATGCAGATAAACCTCCCCAAGAGGTTTGGGTTATAGCTTGGTCCCGATCACGACAATTAGCTGAAGGATTTGTAGCAAGGAGCAAATACAACATAGGAAGATTATAACCAGTACCACCCCTAGCTGTTCCCTCGAAACATCCCTTTCTTTTCAAATTGAACATGGCACTATTATCAAGAAACCGAAACTGAGCAGCTGGATCCAGACAGTTGTTGGAAAGTTCGACATAAGATAAGTTTCCCCAAGTTTCGCTCGCCTGTAGTATGCTTGTGTCATTAATACACATCCCTGTCTGCACATGTTTCACAAAGAAACAAGCAGCATCTTAAAAAAAATAAAAATAAATAACGAAGTAAATAATGGACTCCTGTTGCGTGTCTGTGTGCGTATGGTTGTTGATGGCACAGTGTCTTTCACAGCTCATTTGTATGACTTATATCACATAAGTATATTTCATTTGTCTAAATATGCATCAAGCTATAATGCATGCTATTGATTGGCTGTTTAGTCACTGGTGTAGTAGCTACTGGTGTAGCTACATTGTAGTTATTCCAATGTCCACAGTTGGTTCAAATAATGCCAATGAAGTTTAATCCAATCTTTTATATTCAGACTGCAGTATAGTTTATAGATTTATAATCTTTGCCACTTATTAATTAGTCACTGTGGCATCCTGTGCTCAAGCGACCATCGGTTTCCGCACGAATTTTTGTCAGATTTCGGATAGCCACAAAATAGAATATATTAATGATCAAAATAAAATGAACACATGCAGGGTTTAACGGGTAACGGGTAAAGTCACTGGAAACGAACTGCAACGTACTTGTCCGGAAAATTTTTTTGCCTAAAAAGTTGGGGGGGGGGGAAGAGGTCATTTTTTAAATAGGGGTCCCTAAAAAAATTTGCACCCCCCCCCCC